CGTAGGTGGTTCAACGCTTCACCTGTCACCATACCTACAAAACAGCAAGCACCTAGCGATTGGCCCGAAGGTTGTTGGAAAGGTCCATGCTGCGCAGCAAGAACTCGGCTTTCTTCCAAGTATGATAGAAACTCTGCCCTCTTCGACATTAATTCCTCCATCCTCTCCTTGCTCAGCTTGTCGCCCTTGCGTTTCTTGTTGAAGCTTCAAGAGTGGGACGGTCGGCATTGCGGTGTTGCAAGGGAGCTGTGGCTTCGGAAGGTTGTCTCGTCGCGATGGTTTCAGGCCTCGCAGCAGGAGGAATTTGTGATCGTGTGAGAGATGTATGATGACGATCCAACGCTATGTCGAATACTATTTCAATCATAGGTAAGCGAGATGGTCAGAAATATTCTGTGGAGTTAGGTGCAGAGTCTGGCAAAGCGCGAAGCGCAAGCACTCTAGTTCATAATGTGCCACGTTGCAGTCAGAGTTACAGTATAGCCAAAGAAGAACAACACCCATCGATGTCTCCCAAATTATTGCACTATGAATCATCACCAAACTCACCTAGGTGGTTTTCCAGTGGGTGACAGCGCCATTCCGAGTTTGGGTGTAGTTTGGCGCCAGAGTCGGATGAATGGAAAGGATAAGTGGTCTGATGAAGGTTGATGGTTTGGTGGTTGGATGAGTGCCAGAGGAGGGGGTTGGATAGAGCAGGATGGGACGTATGGCAGAACTTGATGCCATGTTCCAAGACCCCAACCGGGAAGCCACCGCCCTGCAGAAGCTCGCCACTCTGCAGCAAGGTAACGACTCCATGGATAATATCATCCAGGAGTTCGAGATCCGCGGTCCCGCCTCGCAGCTAGGCGACGTAGGGCTGGTAGACCGCTTCGAGATAGTGTGGGAAAGTTCTGAAGTCACATGGCATTCAACACCGTGCGGAGTAGGACCTTTCCCTTGTTTTCTGATGACTCTCTTTTCTTACACTTAGCCTTAGTGAGAGATACCTAACCCCCCCGAATTTGGATGTGTGATGTCCCTCTTACAGCATAGCACTGAAAATATGGGGTGTGTAAAAGCGCGCGCGAAACCTGAGAGTAGGCAGGAACCTGAGAGGACAGGAAGGTAGTCAAAAAGAAGATGGAAAAACAAATCACAAGAGGGATATTGGGAGCGGTGCGCAACACATGCACCTTGAGTAACAATCGCCAGTCAGGGCATGGTGTAGGAGCAAATTCCATTGATCGTTGATTGACAATGAAAAATCATATAGGCTGTGAGCGATCGCTTCTTTGGTTAGGTGAAAATCGCAATCAGCTTCAGTGGTAAGGAGTTTAAATGGCCAGGGGCCACTTAAAAAGGCTCGGTGTGGAGAGGACACCATAGTGTGGAGCAAGAGTTTGGGCAGGAAGGAAGTGCAGCGGGAGGGTTGGAGGATTTGGGCAGGAAAGAGTGGGAGGGTGGAGGTTTGGGTGTAGGGCCAAGTGGTGAGTTAGGATCTGCAGCGGTGAGGGACAACTTGGGTTAGCTCGGTAAGCAAGTTGAGGTAATCTGGAATGTCAGAAAGCTGAGGTAAAAAAGGGAATAACCAATAACGGTGCTCAGGTATTCAGTTTGTGCACGCAAGACCTGCTACAGAGTAGTGGGAATATTAAACTGGAATTAAAGTACATATCTGTGAGCAAACCTAAAACATTCCCCCAGTACATCCCGCAAAAAATCACGTGTTTGACGAATATGAAAATGATGATATTTTTTGAATCCACCAATTACAACATTGCAACATGAAGGAAATGAATAGGATGCAAGCATGAAGATGCACAGGCAGGTGCCCAGGTGCCTTGGGGCATTTAAGGGAAGGGAAAAGAAAGTTGCGTACAGTAAGAAGAAAATAGTGGATGAAGATTGCTGAGGCCAGAATAACTATTCATATAGATGAATTGGTTTGGGGTATAGAAAACCATAGGATGAGGCCGCAATAGGGCCAGGGTCGGACCAGATGAGAGTAGACTGGACTTATGGAGGCTACCATTGGCGCTACCACTATTGCACCTCACCATCCCAAAAGGTAGTGGAGAAGAGAAGAATAAGGAAGGGTTGGGGTGATGGTGGGACTTGAACCCACAGTCCTCTGGCCAGTCCCGTCTGGGCTTACAGAGGTCACCATTGGCGTTGCCACTATCATGCTCGTCATCCCAAAAAGGTAGTGGTAAGAAGGAAAAGGAAGGGTTGGCTTGATGGCAGGACATGCACCTGCGCTCTTGCATCTCTCCAGCCAGTGCGGCTCTGGGCTTATGGGGTTGTGGTTGATTGGCATTACCATGGTGGCCATGTCATCCTCCCTTCAGATGTTAGAGGCTTAATTAGTTTTAAACAGGGGCACCATGTGAAGGTTTAGGCCCGTGCTGGGTGTTCACTGTGGTAGCAGAACTCCCCCTCGACTGACATCCATCGTTGAGGCCCTGCCTGATAACTTGCAGTGTTGGACCATGGTCACAAGCGGTCATGTGGTCAGACATTGACTGGTCAAATTCATGTCAGACATGTCACTAGAGTGCATGCTTCACATCGCAACGACCTGCATAGCATAGAATGAAGGATGGTGCGGAAGTGCATTGAATGATATGCACAGTGAAGAAATGGTACATCAGAGGAATCAGCATTGGAAGTTACAGCCTGACGCCACTGGTGGTCACCAGACCGTACATTCACACTTTGAGAGCTTTGGGAAGGAGGAGCTTTTGGGGCAATCGACGGTGAACATAATGTTGCTTTGGGTCTTTGTTTTCATGCTTTGACTACTGCTTGCATTTCACTTCAGTGGTGTAGAACTAACATTAGATGTATATAAGGACAGGACTTGCACTGAGAGCCGATACATCACTAATCGACGTATCGTGCTGCTTAGATTAGCAGGAAGTTATGTACAATGAAATTAAGTGGGAATACGGTACTAGCACAACCAACAACCGGTAACACGTAACGTGAGGGTCTTGGATTGAATTGAAAATTAATACAACTGAAAGCCTCTGGCAACTCCTGGAGGCCGTGGGAACTGGTTGTTGGTCATGCTAGTACAGTATTGGTCAGTGAGGTTATGGAGAATTGGCAATAGTGGAGGACCTTGGAATTCAGTCCTGGGCGAAAAATTTGCAGGACCCAGGAATTGTGATTAGATAGGCAGATACAGTTGAAACCGTGATAGGCCATACCTGAGATAACCCATAACCTGCGATAACCCATAGGGATTTCTGGGAACCACTACAGTTCCTATCAAAAACCAGACCCTAACCCATGAACCTGCCATCCCCCATGTTATAAAAATGGGGCCTAATTGGCCCATTTCTATAGTGTCTGGGTGCAGGGAGTGGCCATGACATCGAAATAGTGTTACAGGAATGGGTTCTGGGGAACCCAACCTGAACCGTTCAGCTCACTAATGGAGGTGGCTGCATAGCCATCGGAGGGAGAGCGGAATGGGATGAGTGTCTGGAAGTACAACCTGTGGGTTGGCCAATGGTAACTTGGCGCTCCTGGGAGCATACCATGGGGGTCGGCAAATGAGGGGAGAGGTCCGAAAAAATAAAAATAGCACGTGATTTTAAAATATGGCCACTGCGCCCCACCCAAAAGCCACTTCCATTTAACCACACAACTTCTACTAAGTGTTGTATAATTATTGCCCGATAATAATATTAAAATGCATATGTGGTATGGGGATTTACTTTGAAGCAAGTTTATACATAACTACAGTATGTTGGAAATTCACAACCTTTTTTCACGCATCAGTGGGATTCTCGAAAATCTGAGTGACCAAAACCCGCATTCACACCCATAGAGCAATTGGGCCAAGTTTGAAGCAAATTGAAGTAGCGGAAAGGTACATTTCACTGCTCTGAAGCTGGGATGATATGGGCCCTAACTCTGTGCAATGAATGTCTATATTCATGTAAAGACTGCACGAAAAAATATCCAAATGTCACCATGATACTCCCTGGAAGTTTGGAACTGTCACATGTGGTAATCACAGAGCTATGGGGGTATGCAACAAAATACATGCTCATGCACAGGGAATATCTTTTGAACTAAGCCAAATTTTAAAAATCTGAGTGACCAAATGTTAGGCACATAACACATCTACCAGCATGCCAAAATTCGAGCAGAATGGAAGGGGTTGAAGGTACATTTGGGACTCACCTTTCCCAAAATGCACACTAGGCGCAAATAGGATCACGTGTCAGGTTCACCAACCCGTGCTTACCCAACTTGACTTTGACATCTAGTTCTCTTGCTAGGCTTACATCGGACTTGAAACTCAACCCTCTCATATCTCCTTCCTAGCACCCCAAATGCCAAGAGATCAAACTGCTTGGAAGTATTCCAAAAACAAGGTTTCTTCTCCCAAAACTCGGCAGATTAATAAAGCTCAGAGGACTAGTTTGGGTAAACGACAACCAGAGGGGAGATCTCATGTAATAAATGAGAATGAGTTTCCAGGGCTGTTGACTCGAAGTCGCCGAACCTTTGGACCTATGACTGGGATTTCCGCTGTCCAGCCACCATTGCCGTCACCGCATGTTAACATGCAGTCTTGGGCTCATGGGGCTAAACTATCTGGGAAACAGTCAGGGGAACCACTGGAAGAAAGGCACGCTTGCAAAGTGAGAAAAAATGTGCGGACTATAGCCCCAATTCAAAGGCACAAAATTCTTGAATTCATCCCCACTGCCAAACCACTACCACCATCCTATTCAAATGTCACTTCCCCAGTGCCTACACAGATAGAGTCTGTTCCCCTTCCCAATCTGACAATTAATCACTTGCGGAAAGACAAAAGAAACCTAACAAAGGTTGCTCAACGGGCAAAAGTGAAAGTCCAAGCACTTCAAGCTGAAATTAAATCGATTAAAGTGGAAATGACAAAGAATATGAAGAAATTGGACCTGCGCCTCGATTTAGAGAGGGAAACATCGATGAGTTTGGAATCAAAACTCACCAAGTTGAGGAGATCTTCAATGCGCTGGCGGAGGAAATCATATCCTCTCCAGCAGCAGAATGGAAGGCTCCAATCGAGACTAAAGAACAGCCTTAACCAAACCAAATGTCATAGGAAGCTGTCCCTTAAGTATGGAAGCTTCTTCTCATTTAAGGCCCGATCTCTGGTCCACCGTCTCTGTTGCCTTAATATACCCGATGTAACAATTGGGAAGGTCATCAAAGAATGTGCTGGGTTCTTTGGAATCACTCTGAACAATGTTCCGAGTGCACGGACATGCAGTCGGATCATGATAGAAGCTGGGATAGCAGCTGAAGCTCAGATTGTGGAGGTTGCGCGGAACGCAAAGGGTAATTCAAACAATCACTCAATATTTTTGGTATATTAATAATATTTCTGCATAGGTATTGCCTATAGCGGTGATTCTACACAACACAAGCATATTGATTACCATGGGTCTCATTTCACAATGGACACTGCTGATCTGCCACACAATTCCACCCCATCCCCGGAACCAGCAAATCACAAAACCTTTTTCCTTGGAATTGAGTCGCTACCTTCGCACACAAGTACACAACAGTTGTCAAACTTCCAAAAGAAACTAGGGAGATTCTGTTCTTCCCATACAAGTCTTCCAAGTCTGAGGTTGGCGGAAGAGGTCAAACCTGATGATATTCTACGTGCAATAAATGGGATGGTCAGTGATCACGCAAGTGATCAGAAGCGGTTTGCTGAACTTCTTCGTAATCTCAAACTCTCGGCCTGGTATAGAGAGCTCGGCCGAGAATACTGGGATTGGATGGGTGCTCAAGCAAATTGTATTGCTGCGGCAATCGCCCAAAATGAGCAGGAGCATAGCATAATGCAGGTTGGGGGATATGGAGTGTGGAGCTCACTATCAGAGGCAGTGCAGGCTGAGGTCTTGGATAGGACACGGCTTGACACATTGGAGCATTTGGGGAAAGTGCGGTATCACTTCTTGTCGGAAGAAGAGAAGTGCGCTATGTTGCAGCTGATCTGGATTGGGTGTGGGATGCACAAGGACCTGAATACTGTCAAGGGGGGCCATGAGTGCATGCATGCAATGTGGGTTAAGGAAGGACAAGTGGCCCCGATAAAGTTTTACAACAAGTCAAACAAAAACATTGTCCAGAACAGTCCGGATGGTGTTCCTCTGGCCATAAGCGAGCAAGCAGAAAGTGACAGTGCGGGAGGCGCAGTCAAATTCCTCCAACTAGCAGGGGCAATATTCCGAAATAAGAACGACAAAAAAGGTCAACAGGATGCCTATAACTGGTTCATGGAAGAAGAGTGCGGTCAGATCCAACAATTCCCAAACATATCTGCAGTGCGATATGGTACCTTTGGGACTGGAGCTGCACATATTATTGCCGACCTCGACTCATATCGGAAATTCATGATCAATGTTTCTTATTCCAAGGAGAAACCTGGATTGACAAACATTGAGAGGAATGTTTCAGATGGGCTTGAGGACATCCCAACACTTACTGAGCTCTGTGTCCACGCTTTGTATAGCGAATTCGTCTCCCAACCTTTGGTACAGGAACTCCGTGCCTATGGCATTGACCGGGTCAACGGTGTTTCACTTGGGCCATTACACAATGCCGTTCTAACTCACCTATCTAAAATCCAAGACAATCCCTCCCTTTGGCTCACTCCAGGCAGCTCATTTGCTGATGCGGCACTAAAAGGCACCAGAATCAGTAATACCCGGGCAATTGAAGCAGTGCACAAACTTACACCCGGCCTCCCACACATAACTGATGCTCTTATTGCATTCCTCGAAGGCGCCTCCGAAACGTACACTCGGTTCTCAATGGAATTTGCCAAAGGAGGGGAAATCGATTCACTCACACCAGAAGAGATCGAAAGGATCTTCATTCCTAGCACAAATGATGCAAACGAAGGCGCACTTGGCCAGCTTCGGTGCATGAAGCGGCTGAGTACACGCATGACACAGATGAAGTTAAATGCCATTCAGATGGCAAAGCGGAATGGTGTAGATGGCTTCATAGTTGGTAGTCTATCGGACGAGGACCAAAAGGCCCTACTAGGACTTGCAAGGCAGCGAGATATGTCGGGTCAAGAGCGGGAGCGGAAGCGCGAAATCTGGGAAGCAAATGCAAAGAAAGTGGCAGATAGTCAGCAGAAGGCCGAAATTGCAAAAAAAAAAGGCAAGGACAAGGCAGGAGAACCTCAAGAGGCTGTCAGAGGACGTCATCTATGATTTAGAGGGAATAAAAGCCCTCAAAACCAAGAAAGCGGCCAAACAGCAACTTGACGCTCATCGGTACCTTCATCCTGATGATAAGGAAATACCGAAGGTTGGCATCTTTACCAGCATGAATATTGAAGGGCAGAAGGAAGTACTTACACGAATAGCCAGCAAGTACTCAGCTCCAGCAACTGCGTGGATGGAGATTGAGAGTGATCATGCTTGATTACACACAGCTCAAAGATCTATTCATTTTTTCAGGTAGATAACCAACGATCAACATTTTGTTCTTGTTCACCGAGTTTTAACATACTTTGCAACCTAAGGATGAGGTCTTGGGAGAGGGAGGACAGCGCGGCCATGATCGAGCCAAGTTTCGCTTATGTAAACGTCACAAGGTCACAACCTTGTTGCCAACCCCCACGTACCAGTAGTGAGTATGATGTGGGCTCCATGAGGGAGCCTCCTGGCTGTCTGCTAACAGGGACTTGGTGCTCCTGGGAGCATGCCAGTAGCGGGTGTGCTGGGAGTGGTCGGCTAGCGGTGACTTGGCACTCAATGGAGCGTACCGGTAGTGTGGGATACTGGGACTCCCAAAGGGAGTCACCCAGTTGGTGGCTATCAGTGACTTGGCGCTCACAGGAGCGTACCGGTAGCAGGAGTTGGGGAAAGCAGGCTGGTGGACCAGTGCACGGTAGTGGGTGACTGTCAGGATACCGAGCTGCTCGGAGCTAAGGTCAAGGGATCCAGTGGAAGTGGAGGTAAGACTAGGAAGGTCTGGGTCGGTCTCAATAGGAGAACCGCAAGGTGTGCTAGGCGACACAGGCTCCAGCTGAGCAGCGAGGGGAAATGAGAGAAGAAAGCTGGTCTTCCTGCTCGCTACTCAGAGTGTAATATACTGTAGCCCACACACACAACTAATCTACGAGGCACTGTACATACCAACAATCATAGATCCAGGTTTGTCTGGCTGTGTTGGATCATGGATCACGGAACATGGATCTTGAGTGGGATCAGATCATAAGGCTGTACAGCATCAGCAAACCCAACCAGGAGGTATGAGAGCTCATAGAGCTCTCAGAGCTCTCAGAGCTTTTAGAGCTCACAGAGCTATGAACTTTGAAAATTGCAGGTCCCCCTCTCTGAGAGCTTGGGAAAGTAGCTCAAAGCTCTGAGAGCTCCGAAAAGTAGTCAAAGCTCTGAGAGCTCATAGAGATATATTTGCCCACAGAGGACTATTAGCTCTATGAGCACCCTGAGCCCATGTTTAATTCAAAAAAATAAAAAGCTTGACTACAGCATCATGTGACTGGCCACAGTCAGGTTCCTACCCTAGGGTCAACTGGACAATAGTCTACTTAACTTGCAACCCCTCATGTGGCACTGCACACCAAGGGCACACAACCCAATTGATATATACACTGAATTTAGGGTTATAAATAGGGTTAATCCGAAATTACTTAGGGGAAAATGGGGGGAAATGGGGGGGAGAATGAGGGGGAAAATAGGGGGGAAAGGGGGGGAAGGCGAGGGGAGAATTGAGGGGGGGAATGGGGGGGAAATTGGGAGGGGGAATGAGAGGGGGGAAATGGGGGGAAATGAGGGGGGAAATGGGGAAATTTGGAGGGGGGATGAGGGGGGGATGAGGGGAAAATTGAAGGGGGGGATGGGGGGGAATGGGGTGAAATTTGGAGGGGGGAATGAGGGGGAAATGAGGAGAAAATTAAGGAGGAATTGGGGGGGGGGAATTGAGGAGGGAATTGAGGGGGGGAATGAGGGGGAAAATGAGGGGGAAAATGAGGGGGAAAATGAGGGAGGAAATGGGGGGTAATTGAGGGGGGAAATGAGGGGGGAATGGGTGAAATTTGGAGGGGAGAATGAGGGGGAAATGAGGAGAAAATTAAGGAGGAATTAGGGGGGGAATGAGGGGAAAATTGAAGGGGGGGATGGGGGGAGAATTGCAGAGGGAATTGGGGGGGGATGAAGGGGGAAATGGGAGGAAAATGAGGGGGAACTGGGGGGTTTCTAAAAACTTGAAAAAAAGTCAGGGAAAATTAAGGAAAATTCAGAAAATTCAGGGAGAAATGGGGGACTTTCAAAAAAAATTGAGAAAAGGAAAATTTCTAAAAAATCAGGGAAAATTAGGGAAAATTCAGAAATCTTGGGGAATGTTAGGGAGAGAAATTTCAGGACATTTAGAAATAATTTAAAAAAATTGAAATCACCTTTCTATCATAAAATTTCAAGGCAAACTCCAAAATCCAAAAATTTACACTATATATTTCATCTCCTTTCTCACCCAAAACTCACCCAATTTTGACAATTCAAAAGGCCTGGTATGGATGTATGGATAATATCTGAAGGATGCATCAGCTTTCTGTTTGCTTTATTGGGCTGTATTTTAAATTTACTCTTTTTGGGACACTTTTCAAAACTGATTTATACCCTACATACATGCATGGTTACATTGCCACACTTAAGTGCTTTCCAATGCACACAGATAGAATCATCAAAATTGGATGAGTTTTAAGCAAGAAATGAGATGAAAGATAAAGTGCAAAGTTTTGAATTTTGGAGTTTTCCTCAAATTTTACAAATAGCAATAAACAAAGTGCCGTATCTCAGCATATTCCATGGATACATCAGTAAACACAAAAGGTCTGCTGAGATCATAGAGCTCATAGAGCCTTTGGAGCCTTTGGAGTGATGAGGATGGCTATTTTCCACACATTTACAGAAACATATATCCATATTACCATTGCACTACTGGTGCCAAGATAACTCAGCAGATTCCATGGAGACATGGAGACCATTCATTAGTAAAAAAAACACAAAGCTCTATGAGCTCTATGAGCTCATAGAGCTCATAGAGCTCATAGAGCTTTTCGAGTGATGATGATGGCTATTTTACATGCATTTCCAAAAATGGATATTCATATTATCTTTGCACTTCAGCATCCTTATGAGAACAAAATCATATATATATTTCATTTTCTTGACTCTATGTGTAGAGGGTGCACAGCAAAAGACTCAATTTGCTCACAGAGCTCTGAGAGCTCTGAGAGGTCCATACCAGGTTTGCTGATGAGGGATCATGGATCATGGAATCTGGGTGATCATAGATCATGGAATCAGATCATGATGGTAAGTAGGCTGGAAGTGGCCGGAAGTGGGTGTACTCTGACAAAAAGCATGGCTTTGCAGGGATGACCAAAGCAATCAAATGAGAGGGGGAAAAATGCTAAGGAATTCCGGACTTGAAAGTGACCTTGCAAGGTAACTCCTCTATGGCGCTCTCCTCGCCCACCATCATAATTCTCCTCGTTTCCAGCTTTCCAATGATACCTCATTCATCCCAATTGGTCCAGTAGTTCATGAGATATTCATTGACAGGTGCTGTTGAGAGCACGTGAGGTTCAACACCATGTCGAATCATCCATATACTAAGGCTCTGTTCAGTAGAAAGAAACCTGTTTCTTTTTGTTTCTTCATTCAAAAGGTGACTGATTCTTTCTTGTTTCTTCTGCCACTTTCATCAAGAAACGAGAAGAAACTGATGAGTGTTCAGCATGCCAGTTTCTTTGTCATTTCTTGCTACAGCTTTTTTCTTATAAACCTCACATGTAAATTAAGCGTGAATTATTGTTACAAGTATGGATGCTGATCTTGGCAACACAGACCCATCCCTCGATAACAAACGACGTCGTACACCCCAGGCCAAGGGGGAGTCCACAAACCCACCTACCAAGCATGCTGTTTGGAAATTGCATGAGGAAGCGGAGCTTGTCCACTCCCTTCTTGAAGTTAAGCATGCAGGTGGCACCTTGAATATTGGGTTCAAAGACAAGGTTTGGAACTCAGTTTCCGCACACTTAACTGAGGAATGTGGGACTGTGTTCGAGCCGAGTGCTTGTAAGAATAAGTATGGCAAGGTGAGTATGAGATGAGTGACTAATCAGACCACTGACTATATCTCTGCCATAGTTAAAACAGATATACTGGGCCATCAAAAGACTTTCAGAGCAGTCAGGATTTCCGCGGAGCAATGAGAATGGTGCCAATAGAGTGATAAGTTTTTGTTGATACTTGATGCGATGTTGTTTGATATTGCTAGTCTTGCATGTGGCCATTATCATATATGATGGCATTTTAAAAAATAACGGTATAGGTACATATGGGATGCCCTGACACAAGCAGTTTCTTTCTTTCTACCGAACAGAGCCTAAGGATGTTCCATTTGGGATGATACTCCTGGGATTAGGAGGGTGGGTTGACATCACCAGAATGAACAGGTTTCAATGGTATTTGAGGCGATGAATTGTGAGAATCTAGCACGTTGTGAGTACTCAGTTCTGAACAAGCCAACTAAAATGAATTGCTTATCTACCTAGCACATTGTAAGCGCTAGGATATTTACAAGGTTTTTAGTCATCGACCAAGTCAGCGAAGACAAGAAAGCTCACCTCAGTTCTGAACAAGCGAACTGAGGGAGAGAGACAAGGGTGAAAAATTAAGGCTTTTAAGCCTTCTATGATGCGGCTGGAAAAGAGTAATCAAGAAAGGAATGATGGACAATCATGTAGATCATTTGTCCATGCACAAGATATGTGTTGACCTTTCTCCTAATATGAATGTTGGGCATGCAAATTTTGACTTGGCGCTGTAACGGGTCTATTGCCTAGACTTGAGACAGAGAAAAGGGGGAGGGTGGTAGTGATTGCATATGTGGTTGGGAGGTCCGGGTTTTGTTCTTGGGGCACTACCATGTCTACTAGAGCCTCAACTAAACACTCACCTACGTCTCTCTTGGACGTCAAGGCTGAGGATTATGAGTAGAGGGGTGTTAGATGTTAGCAAGGGGTCGGGGTCATGGATGGCATCTTTGCCACTTGGATGTAACTACTTTTTACTCCTTCATGGGTCTATTCATTGCTAACTTGTTATGTACAGTTGAAACCATCATAACCCATACCGTTGCATTCCCGGACTTGAGTATGGGTTATCACAGTATTGCACTCTGCGACACTTCAAGAATCATGTACATACATTGATCAAGCTCCTCTATGTAACCTTTCTGAAGTTTGAATCAAGTGTGCTGTTCTGGAGTAATGATTGGTCTTGCGTTGTCACAGAGATTTGCCGGTGTACCATAAATGAGCCAAATCCCGCAATTCTACTACCCTCAGCAAGCACCTCACATCCATCACATGTAGCCTATATCCCCTCACACTCCTTACACACTTTCCTATTTTTCCTTATTTTTCTGATTCCATTTCTGGTGACTAGAGCCCGATGTTTCCACTTCCTTATCGTCATATGATGCTCTTTCCTTATTTGTTTTATCGGACTCTTCCGGGACCCGCTGTACAGTTAGCTAGAGAGTATCAGCACCACACTTGACTGGACCAATATACCCCACTTCAGACCTGACTTGTAGTGAGATCCTTATCCCCCCTCTTTCCTGTTGCGAGTCTAGTTGGATTGTGAGGTCTTTGGGTAGCTCAGCACACAAGGCCGTAAGTGATACAAGTTTGTGTATTTTACGGTGGTATGTAAGCAGTTACCCGGAGGTTCCCGCTTGCCCACGTGACTATATGTATCTAATTTACATGTGACTCGGGGTTCGGGGCTATTGCCCTGACATGGATAGACCCATTACAGCATCCAAACTGAGCCAAAGTGGCTTCCATCTTCCATGCAAAAGAAGAATCCATCCATTTGGTGTAAGTCCATGGCAGAATTGCTGCAATAGATATCCCAGAAGCAAGTTTGGCTTTTAACTTTTAACTTTTCAATATTTACATGTTGATGTTACCCATACTAGTATGGGTTATGGATCAAATTTTGCCAAATTTCAATATAAAAATTTCCCTTCACACTATGGGTTGTGGGGGACGGCAGGTTTATGGGTTAGCCAATAGGGACCATACCGGTTCCCAGAAATTTCTATGGGTAATGGCAGGTTATGGGTTATGACAGTTTCAACTGTACAAGGTATTTTCTATTTTATATGAACTGGAAATGAAATGATTGGGATGGGGAAATTTGAATGGGCCGATAGGCAACCATAAATAAAGAATGTCCAATTAGGAACAGAGAAACAATAAAAGAAATATGAATGAATGGGGAAATTGTGACAACGGGTCCCAGATGGAAATTGTAAAAGTTAACTCCGCAACACCGCCCGCCTATCCTCTCGCCAGCAACCTCCTCGTCTCTAGCTTTCCAACGAACCCTCATTTGTCCCAATTGGTGCAGTAGTGCCTGAGATATGGCCACTGACAGGTGCTGTCAAGACCACATGAGGCTCTACACCATGCTGAACCATCCAAGTATGGGATTTCCACTCTGGGAAATGCTCCATGGGCAAAGGGGAAAGGTAGATCATAACCAACGGGTAGAAAAACCGCTGGGTTTAATGTGTGGTTATGGAGGTCTGGGGAGGGGGTGAAATTGGTGGTGTGGTTGGGTGTGGGAAAATTGACTTGGGACTGTCGGGAATGTTGGGAAAAATAAGGAAGAAATAAGGAATGAGTGTATGGAGTGTTGGATAGTAAGGAAACGAGCAATGGAAGCATCCACAGTTATGTATTGTGCATTGTTGGGTAGAATCTGCAGAATCCGACTTTTTTCCATGCATGGACTTGTCCTCACAACGTTGCCCCTCCCAATCAATGTATATAACACCTTCCCATCATCTCCATTGGACTCTCCTTGACTCTAGCTTCATGCTGATATGCCATTCATCCCATTTGGCTTGGTGGACCTTGAGATAGGCACGTGCCATTCGACATGGTGTTGAGTGTCCTCATGTCATATCCATCCACGGCCATCACCCTTGACCACCTCCACTCCTCCGGATTACCTCCGCTCCTCTGCCACTAACCTCGGAGCCCACAGTTTCTGCAATCACCTCTGACCCCCCCAATGGTCACCACCTCTCCAATTCAATATATTACCTACACCTCCCTAAGGATGGAGCCCCGAAGCTCTCCGGACAGCCCTGATGTCCGCTAGCGCATTCCTGCCTCTGCTGGGCAATTCACTTGCTTGCCCTGCAAGTCTACCTTCGGGCCTATCCCTCCTTTCCAATTGTGGGTTACAACCCATCATTCTGTTAAACCTGCAACCCAACTCATCGGTAATATTCAGTCGGCTAACATCTATCCCTGTTAACTCTACTCTGCTCAGTCCCACTGTTCATGGGCCTGCCCTCGCTGTAACTATATATACTTAACTTGTACATAGGTTACACTTCAGTGATAAAATCAACTAGGTTGATCCCCCTTTAGTTCTCGTTGCCAGTAAGTAAATTAGGGCATGGACATGTAACTTGGCACAGCGCTCCTGGTCTGAGTCGCTGAGGCCGAAGCCCTCTGCCACGGAGACATCTCCTTCGTCCCGATCTGGTCTCTAACAGTATTTTATCACTCCCTGACTAGTACACATCTTGTATGGCACCCAAAGCCCCTTGCACTCGTTCACAACTATGCACATTAGTCCCCAACTCTGCCTCACTGTCCCCCAAACCCTTGCAGCCTGGTCCTAGTCATCTGGCGAGAAACCCAGTTGAGTTTCGCAGCTTCTCTAATCTAGAAACCCCTCTCCCATCGACTCCGATCATGCATCCTGTTAGAAATCGATCACCAGTTGCAGATTCCGACTTCGGAGACGCCATGGAACAGCCCATAGATCCAGTCCACTTCTTTGGACTCGGTTCCGAGGTCCCTGATTTCGTCGACCCTCCTCCTGCTGATCCTCCCATCCCCACTGTCCCAGCTACCGATGATGCTGAACCCATCCCCAACATAGCTATTACACAGCTAGCCCAAGCCATCGCCAGTTTGGCTTGTCACACCAGACGTCCACCTCCTCCACCTTCCTCCACTCTCCAGACCAAGGTCCGTGAGCCCGAACAGTTCGACAGAAAAGATCCCTGTGAACTCCGAGTATTTCTGGTCCAATGCGAACTGAACTTCCAGGACCGCCCCCTCACCTTCGCTAGCAACTGCGCCAAGGTCATCTTCGTGCAGTCCTACCTCAAGGGGATGGTCCTTGATTGGTTTGAACCGGATCTATTATTCGATCAAAATTCTACACTTCGTCCTTGATGGATGAATAACTACCAGGAGTTCATCAACGAACTCCAAACCAACTTCGGTCCTCACGATCCTGTGGGTGACACTGAAGTTCAACTAATGACCCTGGATATGAAGGACAGGCACCACATCAATAAGTACGTCGTCGAGTTCAATCGACATGCTTCTCAACTTCATGGTTAGGGAGAAGCCGCGCTCCATCGTTTCTTCTATAATGGATTGCCGAAGCATATCAAGGATGACATTGCCAGAGTAGGCAAACCTTCTACTCTCTCGGAACTCCACACCTTGTCACAGACTTTTGATGCATGCTATTGGGAGCGTAAATCCGAAGTGACACGTCATGCAAAACCCTCCTCCTCCAATGTCTTCGACAAGACCACTACCACTTCTCACTCAGACCCCATTCCTTCCTCCTCTTTCCACTCTGCTTCCAGTAGCAAGCCTCCGAAGGACAACAAGAAGTCCGAGGCCAGCTCCGCTCAACCGGATCTTTCATCAAAACTCGGAGACAATGGCAAGCTCACGCCACAAGAGCATAAGCATCGTCTTGACGAGAAACTTTGCATGTTCTGCAGTCAGTCTGGCCATATGGTCAAGGATTGCCCCAAGTCTTCTTCTCGTGCATCTAAGGCCCATACAGCCCAGACCGAGGAGCAAGGATCCGCTTCTGCAGAGACGAAAAATTAGTCCGCACCCCTGTGGACTCCGCATGGACTGGGGGTTGTGATTCTTCCCTCCATGCGCTCAAAGAATTACGCCTAAACACATCTTCTATCTCCAACTTATCCTCCCTCCACATTCCCATTTCCTTTTCTCTTTATTTTCTCCTCTTAATGTTGACCCTCTGGTTGATGTTCTACCCATTGTAGATAGTGTTGCTGATGTACCACTCTCTCCTCATCCTCCTCTGACTACTTCTGTAGATCGTTCCACCTCTCTCCGCTTCTCTTCTCTCTCTTCTCCTGTTTCTTCTTCTCTGTCCAATGCAAGGACAAAAATAATAAACTCTTCTGCACCTATGAGAACGTTCCCACACTCATAGACTCTGGGTCTTCGGACTGCTTCATCGATGACACATTTGTGCAGAAGTTGGCCCTGAAGACATATCTGATTAAACCCCTACAACTACGCCTTTTCGATGGTAGCACTAACCCAATCATAACCCGTGCCATTGATATTCCCCTCCACTTCACTTCCGGAAATATCACCCCCATGACTTTCTTTGTCACATTGCTTGTTACAGGAATGGGTTCCAGGGAACCCAACCTGAGCCGTTCGGCTCACTAATGGAGGTGGCTGCGTAGCCATCGGAGGGAGAGCGGAATAGGATGAGTGTATGGAGGTACAACCTGTGGGTTGGCCAGCGGTAGCTTGGCGCTCCTGGGAGCGTACCAGTAGCGAGTATGATGTGGGCTCCATGAGGGAGCCACCTGGCTGTCTGCTAATGGGGACTTGGCGCTCCTGGGAGCATGCTGGTAGCGGGTGTGCTGGGAGTGTTTGGCTAACAGTGACTTGGCACTCAATGAAGCATACCGGTAATGAGGGATACTGGGACTCCCAAAGGGAGTCACCCAGTTGGTGGCTATCGGTGACTTGGCACTCATGGGAGCGTACCGGTAGCGGGAGTTGTTGGGGAAAGCAGGCTGGTGGACCAGTGCACGGTAGTGGGTGACCATGGGAAGTGGGACTGCAGGTGCGCGGTGTAGGGAATGGATGTGTGGTGATCCGTGCTGTGCACGCTTTCTTTATTCATTGTTTATTACTCTTTATTTCTCAATGTAAACAATGTATATAAATTGCGGGGAAGGGTGAAACAGGTTTTCACTCTTCTCCTCCCCTGTCAAAATAAAGCTCTATACTGCCTAATTTCTGACAGCTTGAGGATAGCAGGAGTCACAACTAAGGTCGGAACCTCAACCGACCTTACACATGGCCAGGCATCCTGGAGCTGCCTGGACCATATCCTTCTCCTGAGGAGGTGGGATAGGCTACAGTTCCTGATAGGGAACTTCTGGTTGGATGGGAGTAACCACTTGACCACCCAGTGGACTGGTGGGAGTGGGCAGCAGGAGGTTGGGCATGGGAATGCCCTCCTCGTTGCAGTTTTGTCATGGAGAGGATGAATAGGGAGGTGGACATGGTTCCAGGGTTACAGGTTGAGTTTACAGTGGTGGCACAATGGTGAGGATGTTACAATCGCGGTACAAGGTTTGTGGGTTATGTATTTGATAATGAGAAAACATCTCGGCATTTGCCATACATGTCATATGACTTGTGTCTATCTAATACAAAGGTTGTAATGGCCAAGGGAAGTCCCTTGGAAATCAACAAATCCCCCAGCCAGCACCAAAACCTAGTGGGAAAGCTTGGCATGGGGTTTGTGTGAGGTCTTTGGGTAGCTCAGCACACAAGGCCATAAGTGATACAAGTATGTGTATTTTACGGTGGTGTGTAAGCAGTTACCCAGAGGTTCCCACTTACCCACATGACTATATGTATCTAATTACATGTGGCTCAGGGTTTGGGGCTATTGCCCTGACATTCTCCCCCTTGCGTTGCATTTGCGATGCATACAAGGTTGATAGTGAATAAAACAAAGTTTTAATAAGTGATTTACATTGAGTTTGGAATTATCAATGAGTGTTTTGTTGTTGCCACTTTAAAGTGGGCAATTTTGTACATGTCAGTGAAGGAGAGAGAGAGGGTTTAAGGAATAAGTGAGTGTGGGCCGTTACTTTGAAGTGAACAGCAATACATGGGTATCACAGGGAGAAAAGTAGTGGAGTTTGTCGAAATTGAATTTCGACCCAAAGGTTGTATGTCTTTGGTGTTCCTCACTTGTTCTGTGAGGGTTCGTGTGTAAGTGGTGTTTACACACAAGCGGTGGTGGATGTGGGTCTTTTGGCGGAGTGGAGATTTCCGCAATTGTTACTTGCAGTTCCTCGCATACAGTATTGTGTGCGGGGCCTTGAGTTGGGGGAAGGTGTTTTCACGGGCGCCTTGATGGCGTATTACCGTGTCACTTTCCCTTTTCTCAAGGGTGGAGTCATTGCCCTGGAGGAGGGTTTTCCTCCGGGTTGTTCATCTGGACATCTGATTGCTGTGTTGGATGCGATGATGTAGCCTGGGCTACATTGTTGGGCTGTGGGCTCGACGAAGTGGGCGCTCCCTGGGTGGGAGCGTGTTATGGGGATGGGGGAAATTCCCCATTCCTCGATCCGTTCTTATAGTGGGATGAGTGAGGTCATATCTGGTCTGTACCATAACAGGATATGTAATCAATGAGTGATCCCAGTCTTGCCTGGGGGTGGACGATCGAATTCCCATCGATCGTGATTG